AACGTCTTGCGAGTTCTTGCGAGTTTGTTTCCTTTTTCTTAAAGCCGCTAAGCCGTTAATAGCCGCTAAGCCGCTAATAGCCGTGCTTCGCAAGACGAAAAAACCGCAAGACGAAGAGACTCGCGGAATGGATTAATTTCGTCTTGCGAGGCACCACTGTACCTGACATTCAGAAGACATCTTAAGGCAGCCCTGTTCAGGGAAGTTTTTAATCTTTGATATTTTAGTGTATTTTTGGTTTCTATGGAAGCCACCCAGAGTGGCTGGGGAAACCCAGCCAGATGGGCGGGGTACAAATAATAAATTACTATTATTATTATTTGGAACTACAGTTCCCATCATCCCTGACCAATGGGATGATGGGAGTTGCAGTCCCAAAACTGCTGGAGGGCCGAGTTTGGGGATGGCCGAGTTAGGGGCAAAGACCTTGCTCCTTGTGGATGTGAGTTGTTTCCCCTCTTTATGGGTCCAGCCCCAGCCTTTGGCTCCATATTGGATATAGTCTTAAGATACATTCCAGCTGGGGTGGGGATTGCAGCTCATCACCTCCTGGCTGCAGGTCACAGGGAGTGATTTCTTTTTTAAAAAACGGGCCCTCTGGTTGGGGAGATACAATCTTAGTAAATACAACCTTCAAATTCCGGGCTCCACGTTTTAGCTGGCAGCATCTCAGGGGCAAATTGCACACGGCATTTATAGGCTTCCTAATGTTGTGCGTCTCTTGTTGCAGCAATCAGTGTGTGGCAGGGAAGAGCATCAACAAGACTCAGAATAAGGCTTTAACTCCCCACCCCAAAAAAGCAGAGTTTCAACACACAAAGAGCAGGAGGGGCGGATTTTCTAGGGACACCACACATAATTCCACTTTTATTTTATCCAGGCCATTTATCTTCCTTCTGGGAGAAGGCAGCCTGGGTTTTCCCCCCGATAAGAGACAAGCTCCCAAGCATTCACACACAACTTTCAGAATTGCACAGGTTCAGTAAAGCCAAGAAGGGATTTCAGAGGCACACAGTCTTTAGCAGGGGTAGCCAACGTGGAGCCCACGTAGACACAGATCCCCGACTGTTGCGGCTGTGTTACGAGTCAAACGTCCATGCTCCATGTTGGCTACCCCCGGTCTGAAAATATTACATTCTTTTCTTCCGGCGGCTGTTTTTAGAATACATTTGGACCAAGCATTGCTCTTTTCGACTACATAAAGTGAAGAAGATGCCCTAGCCGCGCCAGATTTTGCTACAGGAGATGCAAACAGGTGTGCTAAGACGACTCACTTTAAACAGGCCCCTTTCCTTAGCTAGCAGAGCTCTGCTGCGGCCCCTGCAAATTTTACACCCCTAAAAGGCTTACTTTAAGAGGCATGTGCCCCCAGCCAGAAGTTAAAAGTTCTTTGCCAAGTCCGTACTTCTACTGAAGGGAGACGTGCCTCCAGTCTCAATTATGCGTTTGGGACACATGGCGGTACAGGAAAAAAAAACTGCCTTAGAAACTTTGATTGAACAGCTTCCAAAGTGCTAAGGTGGTTACCAGTCCAAATTGGAGCCCCGTATAGTAGCTGGGCTAGGGGTTTAGCTTGGAAGACTTCTAGGGCTGATGGTATATGTTTGCCACCCTTTGTATGAAAAAATATCAGAATTAGGGCCACTAACTGACGGCTGATTCAGGACTTTAAAATGTGCTTTTATATTAAATTTCTATTTCTGTGTATACTGTAATGTTTTGCTGTTGCTATAAAAAGGTAAAGGTACCCCTGCCCGTACGGGCCAGTCTTGACAGACTCTAGGGTTGTGCGCCCATCTCACTTAAGAGGCCGGGGGCCAGCGCTGTCCGGAGACACTTCCGGGTCACGTGGCCAGCGTGACATCGCTGCTCTGGCGAGCCAGAGCCGCACACGGAAATGCCGTTTACCTTCCCGCTAGTAAGCGGTCCCTATTTATCTACTAGCACCCGGGGGTGCTTTCGAACTGCTAGGTTGGCAGGCGCTGGGACCGAGCAACGGGAGCGCACCCCGCCGCGGGGATTCAAACCGCCGACCTTTCGATCGGCAAGCCCTAGGCGCTGAGGCTTTTACCCACAGCGCCACCCACGTCCCACCCGCTGTTGCTATGGCCATTGGCTAACGCGAATTAAGTTTTGTTTTATTTATTTAATTTGTCCCCAGCCACTCTGGTGGGCTCTGAGCACATCTCCTGAAAGAGGATCGGTCCCAACAGCGACTCCAATAAAACCAGGAATATTTCTTGGACGGGCTTTTAAAAACATAAAATAAAATTGGGAACAGCTGAATCCAGTCACTCCAATCACATCCCAATGGGGAGATGGGGTAGAGCCCCACTTCCTGCCCTCCAACGAAGGTTGGCTGGGAAGGAGGCAGGGTCAGAGATATGAACCATGCAGTAGCTCTGGGTGTTTTTATTTCTTGATGCCACAAGTTTGCCCAGGGCATCTCCACGGAAACAGCACCTGGAATGCCTTGCTCTGGTATAAAAAGCGTTAACAGCTACGGCACGTTGTGGTGGGCGGTAGGCAAGTTATGGAATTTCTCTGCAGAGAGCTCTGAATGGCACCTACACACCTCTCCCTCTGTGCTGGGCTTTGCCCTCCCTGCGTGGGCAAAACATTGGGCGCTCTTAGTGCAGAAGCAGCAGCAGCAGAGCCAGCCTTGCTTCTCTGCACAGCAAAGAGCGTGAGACATGCTGGGTTTCCTTATTGTTTACCGCGTAATCGCTTATCACGCTGCTACAAAAGAGCTCCGAATCAGGAGCCCGCAATTTCGACTCGCTCTCAGAAACATGCCAAATACGAGTAAGGTTGAGAGGGAAACCGCAGGACGAAGAAGTCTGGATGGGCAGGCAAAACAGCCCCTTGGGTCTTCCCATCCCATATGGAAAAGCAAGAGGAGGCCGGGGTGGGCAGCCGCACGGCAGAAAAATGTGACTTGGCAGACTCTTCACTTTCTTCATTCACCCACTATTTGGTGCGGAATTGGTCCTCCTAAAGTAAGCTGCAAGCCTTCATGATCTTGGCTATAATTATTATTACTATCTGTGATTCCAAGATACCTAGAACTGCGGGGAAACAGCATAGGCCAGGCATGGGCAAACTCGGCCCTCCAGATGTTTCGGGACTACAATTCCCATCATCCCTGACCACTGGTCCTGTTAGCTAGGGATGATGGGAGTTGTAGTCCCAAAACATCTGGAGGGCCAAGTTTGCCCATGCCTGGCATAGGCAGTGTTTGCAACATGTGCTTTTTGGGGTGGGAGTAGCATAGTCAATTTGGTGGATTTGTAGAGGAGATATGCAAAAGAGTTCAATCCCTAGTATCTCCAGATAGGACTGGGAAACAAGACCTTGCCTGAATCCTGGAAAGCAGCTACCAGTCAGTGTAGACAATACAGAACTAGATAGGGATCCCACAATTTAGGCTCAGCACAAGGCAGGTTCCTATGCCCCTACAAGCAATGTGCTGGGACAGGGTGGGAGAGGGGTTTTGGGGCTGATGGGGTTTGGGCCCGAGAGAGGCAAATGCCATTGGCTACCGACAGCCTAGAGACTTGAGACTCGCGAGGCCACATTGCACATCACTGATCTGTAACCGAATACAAGGATGAGATACCTAACACGATTCGCAGGCTGGCCAATTCACATAAGAGCCAAAAGAAAACCAGAGGGAAATCAACCATGAGCAGTGTTGGAAACTCAGGTGCATAAGCCAGGAGCCAAATGGCTGCTTAAACCAGTCGCTAAAACGGAATGCCTAGATGCCATTTTTGGGACCAGGAGGCTAAAAAAAATATCGTATTTTTCAATGCGGCTTTTTGTTTTCTGAAATTCGTTCTGATTCTGTGGATATAAAATAGCGGGTAGGATTCTACAGGGTGTGTTGCTAGCGTGTGAAAACAGTCCAGCTCCAAGGATCCCCAGGCATGCGCCTCCAGAAAGGGGAGACGTTAGGCGCCATCCTGGCTGTGGGCATCTGAACTTGGTCACTAGAGGCCAATAGGTAAAGGTAAAGGGACCCCTGACCATGAGGTCCAGTCGTGGCCGACTCTGGGGTTGCGGCTCTCATCTCGCTTTATTGGCTGAGGGAGCCGGCGTACAGCTTCCAGGTCATGTGGCCAGCATGACTAAGCAGCTTCTGGTGAACCAGAGCAGTGCACGGAAATGCCGTTTACCCTCCCGCCAGAGTGGTACCTATTTATCTACTTGCACTTTGATGTGCTTTCGAACTGCTAGGTTGGCAGGAGCAGGAACCAAGCAACGGGAGCTCACCCCGTCGCGGGGATTCAAACCACTGACCTTCTGATCGGCAAGTCCTAGGCTCTGTGGTTTAACCCACAGCGCCACCCGCGTCCCTAGAGGCCGATAGCCAGGTGTAAAATGCACCTGGCAAATTTCAAACACGAATCAATGCCCTTCCTCAGACTTCAGGGAAAATGATCTTGTGAATGCAGTCCTTTGCAGCAGAGCAGGGGTGGGCAACCTTTTTGGCCCCTGACCCCCATTTCCCCCACCCCCCACAGGCCAACGCTGTCAGTCAGCTGGGACCATGCACCTGTCAATCATCTGCTGTCATAACAGCATCAGGTGTTTGACAGGTGGTTGTAGCGTTTGCCTGTCAGCCAGCTTGCAGGGTTGAGGGGGAGATAGCAATGAGCGGCTTATGCACGGGGAGTTCAATCTAAGAAGCAGTGACCCCTAATCTCGACCGCATGGGAACTCTTATTGCATGAGCACAAGGTGCGGGTGGAAAAATGCACTTTTGCGATTCTTCCCCTTTTAAGCGGCTGGAAAACTCAGGAAAGGCAGCAAATATTCCCAACGAAGAGAAGCAAAAGCAGAGCAAAAAAATAGCATGAGTGTTTGTTCTGGTCGTCCTGGTTAGGAATAGCCTGTGCCTTTTTTCTTAAGGGGTGTGGAGGTTTCGGGTACCAGTGCCAGTCAGGAGCTTCTTAAACAAACTGAGCTGCCTCATTAGCTCAAGAGAGGCTGCTGACTTTAGCCAAAGCACAAAGGAGCTCAAAGCACGCAGGGAAGAAAAGCAATGCAACAAAACCTTCACCATCTGGCAGAAGCCGACAGAAGCCGAACAGCTCAATTCTTAGCTCCTCACAGTGTAAGAAGCACCCAAGGCAAAACTCCTGCTCAACGTTCAGGGATGCCTACCAAACTGCAAAACACATGCACACCCCCATCAGTTTTCAGGTAGCATAACTGTAGAATTAGGCATACATCTCTTTTTAAGATCCTCTGAAGCAACTGTCAAGAAAAGGGCAGATGGCCAATTGACACTTTTCTTTTCTTCGTTTTAGGAAGGCACAATCCTAACTTTCTTATTACGTTTTTATTCTGTCCATCCTCCAAGGAGATCAGGGTGGCAGACCCAATATTCTCAAAACCACCCCATGAGGTAGGTTAGGCTGAGAGATAAAAGACTCAAAAGATGGCACGTGTGCATCTGAACAGTTGTGCATGGATTTTGTACTCCGGAAGGCAGGCAGGCATGAATTAAATCTGTTTGGGAACGAGAACCGGCGATTGGTTACCTCCAGGTAACTATTTAGGACTGCAATTAAAGTCCAGGTTCACAGTTCACATCTCCAATTGGTTGGAGGGCGAGAGCTAAGGCAGATTTGTTCCTTTGGCCTACAATTATCCCATGGCGAGGGAGTGGTTTTCGAAGGGGCGGTTCTCCTACTCTGGTTCAGAACATTTTGCAGCTGCACAGTGATCGCAGAAATGTGTCCCAGCATCCTCTTCTGTTCCACAAGGGATCCTGGGTCACACCTCTCTAGCTAATACTGTTTTATTGGTTCCACAAGTAACCACTGGGGTGGACGACTTCTGTTTATGGTGCGAGTATCACTGACTTAACAGCAAATTTCACAAACCTTTTGCACGTGGAAAGACACTCCCCCATCAAATTAAAATCCCACTGTCTGTAAAGGAAACAGGACATTTCACTCAGTTAAGAGAATAACACTCCTACCCCAGCTCCCCTTATCGTGTGCAAATTGCTAAAGAAACCATTTTTTTGGAAAGCCAGAGTAAAGCCCCGGACGGTTAGGATGTAGCAGCAGACATACAGAGTGTGCCCGAGAACACAGAGACCCCTATAAAGATTAAATAGATGGTCTGTCCGTTCCTGACTGGCTCAAATGATGCTCAGACATGTTTTCACCCACAAATGAAAATTCTGGCCAGCCAAACAAAAACCTCTGTAACCCACCGTCAAGAACAGAAAACACACTTGCTTTCTGTGAGCAGCACAATCTGCCAGCCCAGCAGCTCGAAAAGTATTGTACACAGAAATCCCACGCCCTCGTTTTGATACCTCCAGCACAGAAAAACCTCTAATCGTGGCTTCTGTAGATAGGCTGGCTCTTGTTTCTACAGATTCTCTGCAGCTCCCGAGGGAAGGGAAGGGGGATATTCCTTTGCAAGAACGTTCAACGCGCCAGTCCAAGTGGTTTATTGTAGACTCTGCTGATGCATCTGGGGTAAGTTGTCTCTTCAGCGTTGGTCAAATGTCCTCGTCATTGCTTCTTTGCAGATTCTTGCTTATTGGTCGATTCTACTAAGAGAACAGGCCAAATCCCAAAGAGAAACTATTGAAAGGAAGGGAGAAAAGGGGATCTTAAGACTGCTGGGCCGAAACATAGAAACACAACACACATACCTCCCTGGAGATTGCCAACTGATCAGACAAAACGTTCCGGTTTTGGCTCCTGTCCACTTAAAAGCAGCTTGATCTGTAGAGGCCAGGGGGTTTTCATAGCACGCAAGCAAGCAGATAGTCACTTGCTAATGTCCACAGACCAAGCTGCTGTTAAAAGACACAGGAGCAAGGGAATGAACATGATTGGTAAATAGTAATTCCAGTTTACGCAGTGTTTATACACAAGAGCATCTGGGTGACTCTCTATTCTGAAAAACTTTTATTGGTTTAATAAGCAAAAAAAGATGGGAGAGCTGTCATACTGTACATGTCTGATACTCTGATACTGAGTCGAACCCTTGGTCCATTTAGCTCAGTATAGTCAACACTGACAGCAGCTCTCCAGGGTCCCAGGCTTCAGGAAGTCTCTCCCAAGCCTACCTAGAGATGCCCACAAGGACTGAATCTGGGACCTTCTGAATGTATACGCACAAGGCAGATACTCTCCCACTGAGCCATGGCGCCTCCTGGACTCAGTGCTCTAGCAACCAGGAATTTTAGCCGGCTTGGGAAAGACATTAACCTTCACGTTAGAAGAGGCAATTCACATGGCCTGGAGATAGGCGCAAGAGCAGCCGTTATGTGCAGAGAAGCGTTCTCACTGCTGCAATCCCGGGATCCCAAACCCTAGCACTGCAGCACTGGGAGAAAGCCATTTGGGGACCTCTTGTCGTCAGAACTAAGGCATCTTTGTTAAGGCAAGAGGGGAGACTGGCCTGGCCCCAGCCTTCAGCCAGAGGAGGAGTGCAGTTGCTGAAGGAAATTTGCCTCCCTGCCAGAAACTGAATGCTCTGCTCCAACTGCCCCAGGGACTGCGGAGGGTGGCACCCTGTGGCCCCATTTGCCAGCTGGGGGGTGCATGGGCTCCTGGGTTTTTAATATTAGTGCAAGCACCTCCATGGCACTGCTTTCGATGCCTACAAAGAACGTTTCGTTTAGGCAACCATACCCAGACACGTAATTTTAATTTGTACGTCTGCTTTTCACACTGTTGATTTTCTCTGAATTTTGATGATGTTATTCCTGCACTGCAGGGGGTTGGACTAGATGACCGTTGGGGTCCCCTCCAACTCTATGCTTCTTTGTCTGCTGCTTTTAAAGTCTGTTTTTAATTCCTACGTTTGCTTAGAATTTTATACCGCCTTATGCTTTCTTTAAGAGTACCTGCTATACAAATCTTGTTAAGAAAATTAATATGTACATGAAAGGTAGTGCAGTTATTCGATCAAAAGGCACCTTCAAAAATGACATTTACTTTATTATATTTCCATTTTTACGCATTTCACAAGGCCAGAGCGGGTTACAACATCAAGGGTAATACAAGGAAACAGCAACAACAGACATCACCCATCTAAATGCAAACCAGTTAAATCACTGAACAGAAAATTCCTTAACAGCCTAAACAAAATAGCAAAGCGAGAAAGCAAGACAATCCTTTATCTCCACCCAGTGACACAAAGCTCTAAAATGCTGTAGTGCTGCATGCTGGAGATGCAGCGCCGCTCCCCTTGACCCCTCCGTCTGTCCAAGCAAATGACTTGGCAAGGACTTCCAAAGCTTAGCTCTTCCTCCCTCTGTTTGCCCTAGAAAGCACTGAGCGTTCTGCGAAAGTGAAGCAAGTTCTTAGCAGCTGGGCTGTCTCATGGAAGCTTTTCCAACTGTGGCACTGGGCAAACCTATTTTAAAGTACCGTATTTTTCGCTCTATAAGACGCACCAGACCACAAGACGCACCTAGTTTTTGGAGGAGGAAAACAAGAAAAAAATAATATTCTGAATCCCAGAAGCCAGAACAGCAAGAGGGATCGCTGCGCAGTGAAAGCAGCAATCCCTCTTGCTGGTCTGGCTTCTGGGATAGCTGCGCAGCCTGCCTTCGCTCCATAAGACGCACACACATTTCCCCTTACTTTTTAGGAGGGGGAAAGTGAGTCTTATAGAGCAAAAAATACGGTATTTGGAAAGGTTCCCGCTTGGATGCCTGCCTTGTGTGTGAGTTCAGTGCTGCATTTGAAGTGGAAGATTTTCAAGACAATTAGGCATGTCCCAGCAATAGGGACAGGAGAAAGCGACAGCCACCCCACTGAGACTTAGCAATATTATCGCCCGGAGTGTGTTCTTGTTGCCTCCACACACGAAAAAAGGGTGCAAGCTGTTTCATTACTCTTGTGGGACACGTCGTTCTGGTGGTTCAGAACAATGTTTCAGAACAATGTTCAAAACAGCCATGTTCTGATGGGTTTTTTAAAGAGGATTGCTCCTTAGGCCCCAAGAGGAACCCTCAAGGCAAGCGAGGCGTCCAATCTTGTATACAAGTTTGGATCCAAAATCTGACAGAATATGCCGAATTAGATGGTCTATCGGAAAAAATAAAGAATAAATCAAAACAGGAATTTGTCTCAAAATGGGAGGTTTTCAAAGAATATTTGAAACCTAAATATAGTAGTTTAAATTCTGTTGCAGCATTCGAGGAAAGTCAGCAATAGTTGCAAGGTAGATATAAGAAATTAGATATATTAAGAAAAAGTTTAATTATGATAAAAGTGTGTACTGGCAATAAGTAATATGAAATCGAAATATTGAATAGACGGGAGGTTGGGTCTTTAGTGTTAAGACCAATTTATGTTTCATTGTTTGTTAAGAAAAATATGTGTCTATGGTTATTCCTGTGTGTAATTTGGTATTTGTGTTTTTTCTTCCTTTTTTTCTTGCTGTGTCAATAAAATAAAATAAAAGGCAAGCGAGGCGTCAAGTTAATCGTGTGAATGCAAGCAACATGTTTGGGTTTTGTTTTTTTATGTAAATAGGAAGCAAGAGCAGTATAGGGGTTGGTGTTTAACATTCTCTCCCCCCCAACAAAATTAAATCTCTGAAACTGGAACTTTTGTTTCAAGGGAAGCCAATTTGCTGCAGCCCAGTGGAGGCACTGAAATGAGGAGGGAGAAAGGTTGTTTTCTGCTGCTCCAGAGAAGCGGACACGGAGCAATGGATCCAAACTACAAGAAAGAAGATTCCACCTAAACATTAGGAAGAACTTCCTGACAGTAAGAGCTGTTCGACAGTGGAATTTGCTGCCAAGGAGTGTGGTGGAGTCTCCTTCTTTGGAGGTCTTTAAGCAGAGGCTTGACAACCATATGTCAGGAGTGCTCTGATGGTGTTTCCTGCTTGGCAGGGGGTTGGACTCGATGGCCCTTGTGGTCTATTCCAATTCTATGATTCTATCATTCTAAGCAGCAGCTTCTGAGAGACGTCAGAATCACTTAAAAGGTAAAGGTACCCCTGCCCGTACGGGCCAGTCTTGACAGACTCTAGGGTTGTGCGCTCATCTCACTCTAGAGGCCGGGGGCCAGCGCTGTCCGGAGACACTTCCGGATCACGTGGCCAGCGTGACATCGCTGCTCTGGCGAGCCAGAGCCGCACACGGAAACGCCGTTTACCTTCCCGCTAGTAAGCGGTCCCTATTTATCTACTTGCACCCAGGAGTGCTTTCAAACTGCTAGGTTGGCAGGCGCTGGGACCGAATGGGAGCGCACTTGAGATGCTCTTGGACTCCCGATGCCCACCAGCCGTCGCTAATGGCTCCGGTGAACAGAACCAAGGGAGCTGGGAGTCCCACATCTAGAGAGCCTACATCTGGTTTAGAGTTTGGGATAAATGCACACATGCAAAAACAGAGATGCTATTCAAGTGATTGTGCATTGATTAGTTACGCTTACTAAGAAAACGAATCGTTCTGAAGTCAAAGATTGCTCCTTGTTCTATGCTGACACACGCACCTAACACCTTGGAAGAGGCAGGGCCCTCTTGTGAAGGGGGAGCAGGGAGGGTGCTCTCTGCAAAACGGCCAGCTGCCACTGAAGGATTTGCAAGACGTTAAGGTGAATTTTAAAAGCAGTTCAAATCGACGAGGGATACATGTTTTTCAACTGATCCAAAAGTTTTGAAACTAGTGTTCTTATTGATTTGTCAATGAAAGCTTTGCTTCGTTTACTCAGAGGGGGAAAACGAGCGCCGTTTCAAAAACCCAGGGATGTAGGAAATGCTGCAGGAACTAAGGAGGCAGCCTTAAAACAGATCATTTATCCATCCAGCCCGGTATTGTTTCCCCTGGTAGTTCTGAAAATCCCCCTCTGTGGACCACTTAAAAATTGCTGGTCTTGGCAGATCATTTAATTATTATTTTTTTGCTCCTGTTGCCGCACGCTGTATTTTTTATTGATTCTTTTATCTCCTATATTGTATTTTACTGTATGACAATCTGAATTCCACAGAACTCAAACTGTATGCATTCTTCACTGACTCGTTTTGGTCCGCCTGAACGAAGCCTATGGTCCAGAGACCGCAGTTTGGGAACTCCAGCGGCCGGCAAAAGAATTCCAGGGCTATCAAAAAATTTCCAGGTTCAGAGAAAAAGAAGGAGAGAGAGAGGACTGCTTTCCTGATCCTGCTAACAAGAGAGGTATGTCAGGGACTGGCAACCTTCTGCATGCCAAGCATGCGCTCCAGCACTGAGCTATGGGTCCTTGTCTACACATGTGAAGACGGGGAAACTTAAAGGCCTTGCTGGAGCAATTCAAAAGAACATTTTTGTCCTGAATGCCGCCTCTGCGCCAAAAGAAGGAGCATCACAATTTTACTTCAAAGAAAGCACACCATCGCAACCTGCCAGGCTTCAAGATCAAGTGTGCCTCAACACCTGCACCTTCCTTCTATGCAATTTGGTTGCGTCCATTCAGTTCAAAATTCCTGCAGAAATGGCTGCTTAACGCCTCGAGACCCCGAAGTGGTTTTGCTGGCGCTACCTCGATCGCCTGGTCGATGAATCGCATTTAGAAGATGCAATAAATCTCCTTAAAGCCGCAGGTGGGCACAAGGAGCTAACTGGAAAATGCTTATGGATCCCTTCGTTTCTCAAGAGGTCCCTTCCAGACGTGGACCATTGTGCTGGTGACAAAATTAACTCACTACAAAAGGACTCAAGCAGGTTTTAAAACTCAATAAAATTTATTGGTGGGGGCGGAATGACAGTGGTTCATTATGTTTTTGAATGATATAGCTCAGGACGCGTGTGCCCTTTTCTCTTCTTTCTCAATGTTAAATTGACACTGCAGATTTTATGTATGCCGTATCTTTTGTTTTTCCCTACAGCGAAAAGCAAATCAAAAAAGGAAAAAAATAATAATCCATCACTACCAGTCTTATATGCTTCTGTCCTAACAAGTCCCGTCACCTGCGCAAGCTGTAAATTACTGCAGAATTCCTTACCTTGACCTTTGGCCTGTACTTCAGGTAAAGTGTCCTTGAATATAAGCTAAAGAGGAGAGGTGAGTGGAGAGAAGGAAATGAAGATTAATAAACAAGCGCTTGGGTACATCCGCTTAGGTGAGACGACAGAACACGGCCCCAACTCAAATGAACGCCGGAGCTGCTGGGCAGCTCAGTCGGCAGAGCACAAGACTTTTAAATCTCCGGGTTGTGAGTTCGAGCCCCACGCTGGGCAAAAGATTCCTGCATTGCAGGGGACTGGACTAGATGACCCTTGGGGTAACCTTCCAACTCTACAAAGGCAAAAGCAACCAGCCTCCTGTTTTGCATGCCTGGGACTGTGAGAGCAGGAGGGGAACCATGGAGGTCAGCTGGGCCAGCATCTGATGGGACAGGGAAGCCCATCCCTGAGCGAAGCTTCTGATTTAAGGTGCTGGTTTTGACCTTTAAAGCCCTTCACGGCCCAGGACCCTCGTACCTACGGGACCGCCTCTCCCCATATGCCCCACGGAGGACCTTAAGGTCCATAAATAGCAACACCCTAGAGGTCCCTAAGGAAGTCAGATTAGCCTCAACCAGAGCCAGGGCCTTTTCAGCACTGGCTCCGGCCTGGTGGAACGCTCTGCCTCATGAAACCAGGGCCCTGCAGGATCTGATTTCTTTCTGCAGGGCCTGTAAGACAGAGTTGTTCCGCCTGGCCTTTGGCTTGGAATCAATTTGATTCCCTCCCCCTCTTTCTTTCTTTTTTCCTTTTTCCTTCTGTGATGGAACTCCCATTTGGGGACTGTGAGAGCAGGAGGGGAACCAGAACGGATCCCGTTTGCAACCAGAGGTACCACTATACATAGCTCCATCCTTATTGCAGACATTGTGATATATAAGTATATTGCAATGTTTAGCTGGTGATATATCAAGAAGTTGAAAACCAGATCTTGCCCAGCCCTGCCCTAATCACAAGTGCCTTCTCTCCCCCTTCCTGACAGTGAAAAATAAAATAAGAATAAATTGCTATTTATTCTGTTGCGCTTCCAGAAGAGTCCCATGTCAGCTGCCTGAGGCGGCTGCCCCACTCTACCTAATGATAGGGCCAGCGCTGCACCAGTTGCTGCCATTCCTCTCTGCCAACCCCCTTGCTGCCTGTCACCCACTGCTGCTCCTCTTCAATGCATACAGCCTTGGACGCAGCTCCTAATCTTATTAACAGAACTTTATACCAAGAAAGCAGTCACGCTTCTTAATCTTCTGGAAGGAAGGGGAATGGTTTACAGCTATGAAGTTGGCAGCACATGGGGCAGGAGTTTCCCCACCCAGAGCCCACGAGAAGGGGAGGCCGTCACACCTGAACAAGATATGAAGGTAGGAGCCGAGGCCTGTAAGAATGTGCCACCAGGCGTGAAACTGCGTCATGACGCTCACAAGCGGAGGTAGCCTCGCCCGCAAACCCCTGTGGAGGGAGAAAAAAACAGGACAGAGTCACAACCTGGGCCTCTAAGCCGCTCCATTTATATACCTGTCAGACCAGTTTCCTGGGTGTCTGCTTTCTAGGAAGATCTGGCGATACTAATTCAACATTTTCTTTGTCTTGCTGAAACAGTGCTTTCCGTTCTCTTGCAGAATATATGTTGGAGGCCGAGTTTAAGAGGTGACCTTCGTCAAAGCTGCACACTCGAGGAAAACGTGGGCTCGCCTGACAGAGAAACCAGCGTCAAAGGTGTCAATAGCTTTTTTGGTGCACCCGGTTTACCTTTCCGTGTGCAATGAGGCTTCCTTGCGTCAGCGGAGACAAGAACTGCTTTTTGTAACCGCATGTTCAATTTGACATTTGTGTGGGTTACAGGGCAGTTTATTCCACCCCCGGTGGCTGTGAAAGAGACCGTGGAAAAAGACTTGTCTGACAAAAGCACGTCTCACAGCCCATTTGCAGCCCAATGAGGTGGACGTAACGTCACTAAAGCAATCTCTCTGGCTGAAGCTCACTCAGATTAGATCTTCCATGTAGCTCAGGACTGTCTGATAAAAAGCTGCTCATGTTCAGTCCAACAGCGTCTCTTGAGTGCATGCAATTGGTGTAGCAGTGGGATCAAAGACATGCAGTTGTCACTCCAGTTGTTTAGGTAACTTTCAAGTCTCTGTAATTCTCTAACATGGAAGCTAAATGCCACAACTGCAAGGGGACCCTGGCCAAACACAGTTGCCCTCCTAAACCCAGCTTTCCCCACCAACAACTGGGGGTAGGGGGGGGGGCAAACCATTTCTCATCACAATCTCTTAACCCAGAATCTTCCAATACTGTTTGTCAACACTGACTACAGTCTGACAGATGGCACCTTCAAACGCTACGGTTGCAAGAGTACAGTTCTGGACGCGAGTGGCGCTTTGATCTAAACCACTGAGCCTCTTGGGCTTGCCAATCAGAAGGTTGGCGGTTCAAATCCCCTTGACGGGGTGAGCTCCCGTTGCTCAGTCCCAGCTCCTGCCAACCTAGCAGTTCGAAAGCACGCCAGTGCAGGCAGATAAATAGGTACTGCTGTGGCAGGAGGGTAAACAACATTTCTGTGCGCTCTGTTTTCCATCACGGTGTCCCGTCGTGCCAGAAGCGGTTTAGTCCTGCTGGCCAAAAGGCCCAGAAAGCTGTCTGCAGACAAACACCGGCTCCCTCGGCCTGAAAGCGAGATGAGAGCCGCAACCCCATAGTCACCTTTGACTGGACTTAACCATCCTTTGCCTTTTACAGTTCTGGACAGACTGAGACAGTGAAGCTATGATTTAGGAGCTACAATTTAGATCAGAGTGTACAAGGGTGACGCAACGCCAAGGGGCCCATGGGTGGTTTAGTACTGCATGTTGTATAGGCAACTCCCCACTTATGTGGGGTTATGTTCCGGGGCACCGAGAGGCAAGTCTCATCTGGACTGCACAGGACCTCTAGACACACTGCCCAGGCTTGCGCTCCAGGGAGGTCACTTTGGTGCTGCTAACACAGCGCTTTGACTTCACCCCCGGAGGCACACTCCATTGCATACCTGAAGGAGCGTCTCCACCCCCATCGTTCTGCCCGGACACTGAGGTCCACACCGAGGGTCTTCTGGCGGTTCCTTCATTGCGAGAAACAAAGCCACAGGGAACCAGGCAGAGGGCCTTCTCGGTAGTGGCACCCGCCCTGTGGAACGCCCTCCCATCAGATGTCAAAGAGATAAACAAGTACCTGACATTCAGAAGACATCTTAAGGCAGCCCTGTTCAGGGAAGTTTTTAATGTGTGACATTTTAGTGCATTTTTGGTCTTTGTTGGAAGCTGCCCAGAGTGGCTGGGGAAACCCAGCCAGATGGGTGGGGTACAAATAATAAATTATTATTAATTATTATTATTATTATTATTATTGTATCTTGAGGCAGACAGTTGCCAACTACGACCATTATTATCGTCAACGATAACAAGGTCTCAGGGCGGGTTACAATATTTCAAAAACAGTATTAAAAACGAGGGGGTTTTGGAGTTAAATCCCCCCCCAAACCGCAAGGTCAGTGAACGAGAATTGCACGCTGCAGTTCACTTACCTCAGTTTATCGCAGAAAATATTGTCTACGTTCCAAAGGAAAAACCCCAGCAAAAATACTGTCAGGGACGTATAGCCTAGGCCCCTCAGCCACGGGTATACCCTAGAGAGAAGCAAATGAGATTTTTTTTAATACCGTAAAGCAGATTTAACAACAGGAGAAGAGCCTTGCTGGATCAAGACCAAAGGCCCATCTAGTCCCTGTGTTCAATCCCCGGCCTCTCCAGGCATGGCGGACATCTTGGGAGAGCCACTGCCAGTCGTGTTGGCAATGTTGAGAAAGGCAGACTAGTGGTCTGACTCAGGCGAAGGGAGAGTCCTGTGCTCTCGCACCGGCCAACCAGAGGCCTCTGGGAAGACTGCGAGCAGGACCTGAGAGCAGCAGCCCTCTCCCCAATTGCTGCCCCCACAAACTGGTACAGTGGTACCTCGGGTTACATACGCTTCAGGTTACATACGCTTCAGGTTACAGACTCCGCTAACCCAGAAATACTGCTTCAGATTAAGAACTTTGCTTCAGGATGAGAACAGAAATCGTGCTCCGGCGGCGCGGCGGCAGCAGGAGGCCCCATTAGCTAAAGTGGTGCTTTAATTTAATTTCGGAACGAATTAAGTACTTAACCCGAGGTACCACTGTATTTAGAAAATGCCAGCCGTGGAGGTGAAACACAGCTATTGTGGCTAGAAGCCACCGACGCTCTTATCCTCCATGGACTGGCCTAATTCTCTTTTAAGTCGATCCAAATTGGTAGCCATCACAGCCCCTTGTGGGATCAAACTCCACAGTTCAACTATGTGAAGAAGCCCTTCCTTTTTGTCTGTCCCGAAACTACCAACGTTTGGCTTGGTTGGATGTCCCTGGGTTCGAGGTGCAGTGGTACCTCGGGTTAAGTACTTAATTCGTTCCGGAGGTCTGTTCTTAACCTGAAGCACCACTTTAGCTAATGGGGCCTCCTCCTGCCGCCGCGCCGCCGGAGAACGATTTCTGTTCTTATCCTGAAGCAAAGTTCTTAACCTGGGGTATTATTTCTGGGTTAGCGGAGTCTGTAATCTGAAGCGTATGTAACCCGAGGTACCACTGTACTAGGACAGGGGTTGGGGGGAGGGGAAAATCTCTCGCTACCCACCTTCTCCAAACTCTGGGTAATTCTGCACACCTCCATCATGTCCCCTCCCTCCACTCGCTTTGTCTCGAAACGAAAAACCCACAAATGATGAACCCTTTCCTCATAGAGGAGCTGCTCCACCCCCGTTTATTCTGACTGTCCATTTTGGTTTTAGTTAATAATAATAATTTTATTTATACCCCGCCCTCCCTGGCCAGAGCCTGGCTCAGGGCAGCTAACAACCAATAAAATTACAGTAAAAACATAATAGGAAAAAAACCCAATTTAAAATACAGGTTAAAATGCAATTTAAAATGCAGCCTCATTTTAAAAGTAGCCCATAGACCAAAACCATAAGGGTCAGACTGAGTCCAAACCAAAGGGCAGGGGGAACAGCTCTGTCTTGCAGGCCCTGTGGAAAGATGTCAAGTCCCGCAGGGCCCTGGTCTCTTGTGACATGGCATTCCACCAAGTCGGGGCCAGTACTGAAAAGGCCCTGGGCCCTAGTTGAGACCAATCTAACCACCTTGTGACCTGGGACCTCCAAAGTTTTGTCATTTGTGGACCTTAAGGTCCTCCGCGGGGCATACCAGGAGAGGCAGTGCTGTAGGTATGTGGGTACTAGGCCGTTAGAGGTCAATATGTAGCCAGGTGGACGCCAGCCAGAGTGGGCTCCCTCTCTGCATTGCAGAGGAACTAGATGATCCCTGGGATCCCTTTCCAACTTCACAATTCTATGATTCTATGAATTAGCCTGCGGTTCTGGACCCCTCCGCAACTCTCCCATGTCCTCGCTGAACAAGCCTTGCCTGAAGGCTGCATACTATTTTTGACTCAGGCTTGTTTGCAGGCTAAAAATGAAAAAACGAGACCACTAAAACATAATAAACAAAAAAGGAAAAAACCCCAATAACCTCCCACAAATGATCAAGTGCAAGCGTTTTAAAGTTAACCCGTTCCTTACCATAAGACTATATATACAGATCGCAGTACTAGAACAGCCACCAGCGTTCCATACATAACCTGTACGACAAAGCAGAAGGAAAGAAGGTTTAATTTTCTCTGGGTCTCTCCCCTCTGCAGGTAAATTAATAGAATGCTATGCTTCCCTGAATGAAAGGTGTTGCGCTTCGGCAAACGTATGCAAGGCTAGCTAAAATTTAGCCTACCATTGCTTTAAGAAAATGCTTGCCCAGGAGGGAAAAGTCAGATTTACAAGAGGGAAAAAGAAAAACTGAAATAAACTGACTTGGATTCCCCCCAACTGCCTCCCGAGGCCATGTTATTCCAGTTCACGCACCTGACAATTTTTGCTTTTAATAATGTAATATGTTAGTTGATAGTGTGACCCAATGATTCCTGCGAAATCAATCTCGATTTATCCCTTAACACCCCATTTGCCGCTAAAGCCGACGCTCAGACTGTCATTCCGCATCTTTGCTTTTGTTAAATTCGGTTTCTGTGCCTCCCACTCTGCACTGAACAAAAGGGGAACTGTTCCGGGAGGCCTGCAAGCACCGTCTTGGTAGCCAAGATAACCCCGCAATTATTTGGTAGTTGTTGCAATGATGAGCTCATATATATTTGCACTGACTTGCTCTGATCTATGCTAACTGGCTTGCTCTGATGTTGTGTTTATCTGTGCTGGGCTCTTGGGATGCTGGGCTCTTGGCCCAGAGAGGTGAGCTGTCTATAAACCTTAGATAGTTGCCACCTACACCTTCGTGGGTCAGGTGGGCTGATGGGAGGTTCTGGGCAGACTGCCGTACGCTGTCTTGCCTATAAGTATAGTATACACATTTGCCTGTGCGCAGACAAGCCATGATAACATCCCGCTGCCGCTGTGTCCTCCCTGCGTCTGCAAAGGCATCAGGTCTCTCCACCTTTCTTTACTAAAGCTCTAGAAGGCAACCCTGTTTAGGGAAGCTTTTAGTATTTGATGAATGATTGTATTTTAATATTTTGCTGGAAGCCGCCCAGAGTGGCTGGGGAAACCCAACCAGATGGGTAGGGTATAAATTTGTTGTTGTCGTCGTTTAGTCGTGTCCGACTCTTCGTGACCCCATGGACCAGAGCACGCCAGGCACTATCTTCCACTGCCTCCCACAGTTTGGTCAAACTCATGTTTGTAGCTTCGAGAACACTGTCCAGCCATCTCGTCCTCTGTCGTCCCCTTCTCCTTCTGCCCTCCATCTTTCCCAGCATCAGGGTCTTTTCCAGGGAGTCTTCTCTTCTCATGAGGTGGCCAAAGTATTGGAGCCTCAGCTTCAGGATCTGTCCTTCCAGTGAGCACTCAGGGCTGATTTCCTTCAGAATGGATCGGTTTGAACTTCTTGCAGTCCATGGGACTCTCAAGAGTCTCCTCCAGCACCTTAATTCAAAAGCATCAATTCTTCGGCAATCAGTCTTCTTTATGGTCCAGCTCCCACTTCCATACATCACTACTGGGAAAACCAGAGCTTTAACTATACGGACCTTTGTTGGCAAGGTGATGTCTCTGCTTTTTAAGATGCTGTCTAGGTTTGTCATTGCTTTTCTCCCAAAAAGCAGGCATCTTTTAATTTCGTGACTGCTGTCACCATAATAAATTATTATTACTATTATTATTATTGGATATTATTGACATTTATTATTGGATAGCTCAGTCGGTAGAGCAAGAGACACTTAATCTCAGGGTCGTGGGTTCGAACCCCATGTTGGGCAAAAGATTCCTGCATCACAGGGGATTGGACTAGATGACCGTCAAGCTCCCCTTCCAACTCTAAAATTCTTTGATTCTGGCATTTTTGACATCCTTCTTTGGTGTTCCTGCATCAAACCACTTGCTCAGGCCCTCCTTTGGACCTGTAGTTCTGAACATCATCACAAATATGCCCAGGATTTCTTCCCCAAGCTTCTTTCCTCTCCCTCCACGTCACTTGGTCTCCAGCCGGAAGAAAGTAGGCTTGCAATGGTCATCTGACTTTAAATGCCCTCTCTCCCATTTATTGATCCAAGTAGCATTGTGATTGACATGTCAAGAGACTCTGACCCTCAATAATTCAGGTATACTGCCAATATCTGTAGCTCCCCTCTACAGCTGTCCCTTCAACGTTTGCGGTGTCAACCTCACTCTTTGCTAGATTTATTTGCTTCCACTATCGTCCACAGCTGAAAAAAAACTCTTCTAAAAAATACACTACATTCCAGAATGTTAAACCAACGTGCAAATTAGCCTGTGCATATCAATTACAAAAAGGGAAGTATCTTGCTGGTTGGTTCTCTAATATAGTCAGAACGTATAATCTGCCAGTGTGCTTGCTGTGACATTTATCACATGAAAAGGGATTGTCAAACTAGGAAGAGGAGGGAGAAGAACCAGCAGGAGCTGTTGAGACAGCAGCAAGAGAGCAGATTCTTTCAAAAGACAGGTAGCAGATTATATTGGATACTGATCCATTTGGAAGACATGCTGTGGCGACGTACGTTCATGCATCTAGTTGCTGCAATTCTAAAATGCAGAAATTATGCATCTAAATAAGGGAAATCAAAAATAGCACAGCATAATGAGAGACTCCAGACGCACTTGGAACGCAGTCATGTCTGCATGTGTTCTGACAATTAATTGCAGAAAACGAGGAGTGCTTTCTGCTCTCTTGCCAAGGTACGTTATTTATATCATGCTTACAAAGCTTCTGCTATTAAAAACACATCGCCAGAGGGCAGGGTTGAACATTGCTCACAATTAAGCAAATTTCTCAGCCCGGCCTGCAGTATCTAATTCGGCACATCTGAATTATCAGCAGCTTGTCTACACAGGTGTGATTTTACCCAACACAAATATGTTAACTCCGAAAAGTAGCTCTTAATCACCCCCCCCAAAAAAAACCCCATATCCATTCAGAAATGTTAGACATTTGCTGGGGAAGAGGAGAATAGATGGCTGAGTTCTTTGTCTTTTGCAGCAGAGATAGTAAAGACTGGCTGCCTGGGCATTTAGAAATTTGATGCAGCCGCCTAGGAAATCTAAATATTTTTCTACAAGACAATCCTATGCATGTTTACCCAGAAGTAAACTGCACTGCATTCAGTGCAGCCCTCTCCCTAGTCAGGATTGCACCTTCAGTCTGGTCCCAAAACCATTCTTCATAGACATCTATCTAAAGGCCTTAAAATGTTGGGAGCTATGTATCTTTCTTGGACCATAAAGAAGGCTGATCGCTGAAGAATTGATGCTTTTGAATTATGGTGTTGGAGTAGACTCTTGAGAGTCCCATGGACTGCAAGAAGATCAAACCTCTCTATTCTGAAGGAAATCAGCCCTGAGTGCTCACTGGAAGGACAGATCCTGAAGCTGAGGCTCCAATACTTTGGCCACCTCATGAGAAGAGAAGACTCCCTGGAAAAGACCCTGATGTTGGGAAAGATGGAGGGCACAAGGAGAAGGGGACGACAGAGGACGAGATGGTTGGACAGTGTTCTCGAAGCTACCAGCATGAGTTTGACCAAACTGTGGGAGGCAGTGGAAGACAGGAGTGCCTGGCGTGCTGTGGTCCATGGGGTCATGAAGAGTCGGACACAACAAAACGACAACAATGTATATTTCTCCTTCCTCTCTACCCAAACCAGGTTGCAACACCAGGTGCAACAAAGTTAGCATGAACACATGCCTTTGGTGGTACTACACGTCAGTGGAAACTGGCGGGGGGTGGAAGAGAGAGGCTCCAAGCGGTTTGGAGGATGTAAAAGGAAGAGAAGCAACAGTGTGGGATATTTTCTTGACGGGGGGTGACTTTCTTCCACAGATTTAGCCACATAACAGGTCTGCTTGCTGTATGCCGATCATCAAATTTTAGCCACTCACAGATACAACTAAGTTGGCAGTTGCGCACTACAGAACATGATTTCTTTGCAAAGGGATGATCAACTAGTGATCCCTGGGCTGTGATGGATCTGGGAAGTCATGCCAGCCCTCCTAAGTTCTACTCAGGATGCGGTAAGACACATAACTACAGTTTCAAGCACAAGAAAAAGAAAATGATGCTCCATGCTTGAGTATTACATCTCTAGTTCTGATCTTGCGCCCAACAGATATTGGTTTGCAATGCAGTGACTGAGCATCACTTTAAGCATGACATCTGAGAGAACGGGTTGTGCGGCAAATGATTCGGTGCCAAGAAACACTGATTTCCCACCAGTTGTGCCCGAGAAACGATGACCGATTGCATCCCCTCTGTTTAAACCGACAAATGAGCAACTGTTTACCTGATGAAACACCGGCTGTTTCCAATTTAGGTATACCTGCAGAAAGGAAACACAAAGAAATATATGCATAAAACAGCTGTAGCTGGTGTGTACCGCTAGTGACCAACCTGTGGCATCAGAACAGGAGGATGCCCAGGTGTGGGTGTGGTGTGGTGGCACTCCTGTGTCAGACTGTGGCTTTGGCTGGCATTTTAGCCCAACGCGCTCATTCTATGTGACTACTGGGGAAGGGCAAGGAGGTCCCAGGCTACAAATGACTGCAGGGATACCTGAGGCAGCTTGCGGCATGCAAAGGGCGCGGGGAGGGTTGCAGGGCACAGCAAATGCTTCGTATACGGTCCCTGGCACCTCCAGTTAGAATGCTCTCAGGGACAAGGAAAGGCTTCTGTTTGAGCTGCTGCCCTTCAACACTGGCCAGATAGGCTAGCAGCCTGACTCAGTATAAAGTAGCTCTGTAGGTTCTACAGTTCTGAACGCATCTAGAGCAGCACTGCGGGAATTCTCTGTTTGCCATGTATACAGTGGTACCTTGGTTCTCAAGCGCCTTGGTTCCCAAACCCCGAAAACTGGAAGTGCGTTCTCCGGTTTTCGAACGTTTTCGGAAGCCGAATGGCCCATGCGGCTGTTGGCTATTGTTTCCAGTGCGCATGCACCAATCAGAAGCTGCGCCTTGGTTTTCGAACATTTCGGAAGTCAAATGGACTTCTGGAATGGATTAAGTTCGAGACCAAGGTATTTGGTGCTTCTGTTTTTGGTATTTATTTTGTGTTTTTGTTTTTGAGGCTTTTGGGGTTAATTTGTTTTTGTTTGACTATGTGGAACCCAGTTCAGCTACTGATTCATTGATTGTGTGACTGTGGAAATGGATAAAAGCCCCCCATCCAAACAATGATGATCATCAGTGCAGATTAATAAAAAGCATTAATTTTAATTTTTATCATCTACAATATGGTCTTATTTATTTTATAGTACAGTACATTGATTATTGCTTTCATTTTATGGATCAATAGTCTCATTAGATAGTAAAATCCATGTTAAATTGCTGTTTTAGGGGTTTTTAAAAGTCTGGAACGGATTAATCCATTTTGCATTACTTTCTATGGGAAAGTGTGCCTTGGTTTTGGAACAGACTTCCGGAATGGATTAAGTTTGAGAACCAAGGTACCCCTGGAATCATCACTGCCCTGTATACCTGAAGGAGTGTCTCCGCTACCATTGTTCAGTCCGGACACTGAGGTCCAGCTCCGAGGGCCTTCTGGCAGTTCCCTCCCTGCGAGAAGTGAGGTTGCAGGGAACCAGGCACAGGGCCTTCTCGGTGGTGGCGCCCGCCCTGTGGAACGCCCTTCCACCAGATGTCAATGAGATGAGTAACTATATAACCTTTAGAAACATCTGAAGGCAGCCCTTTTTAGGGAGCCTTTTTAATGTTTCGTTATGTTTTTATAGGTGTTGAAAGCTGCCCAGAATGGCTGGGGCAACCCAGTCAGATGGGCGGGTTACAAATAATAAAATTATTATTATTAATGCAAGCGCTCTGACGCTGAACTACAAAAGGGTACAGCAAATCACTCAAAAATCAGATTGGCAGCACCTTGTCCTGCCTTCCCCCCCCAGTGCTATTTTTCCCAGTGCCAGGAGGAGTGCCCTGTGCTACTCATGGCTGCAGAGTCATCTGCAACTGGGCGCAGGAGAGGGTTATTGTAGGATATTCACAGATGCAATTTGCAAAGGGCAGGGGGCAGAGGAGGAGGAAAAGTCTTCTAAAAAAGAAACCACCAAACTGTGCTGCTTACTATGCTGACGCCAATGCTGTAGCCTATTAGTATAAACAGGAGGGGATAATTGATTGTTTTCTTGTACTTGAAACATTCATACCTGAAACAGACACAAAGATGAACAGTGATGAGAGGCAGCAGTGACAAAGGCATTTATTACAAGGTCTTTTAAGGCTGGTGAACAGGTCGAGTTTCTTTTGTTGGTGACTAGAAGGGGGGAGAAGCTCACCACACTGGCTTGGTGGGAACATGCAAGAACTGGCAAACACCCCAACTCTGGAGTATGTCTCTCCCTCCCTCCCTCCCCACTAATTTTTAAATACTAATGCAAGGCAGGAGGAAAAATATAGCCCTTTAAAGAAAATGTTTTTCCACCCTGAAGATGATTTGAAAGAGAGATTGTGCAATATGCACTTAGTGCATAATCTGGGAAGCAGGGATGGGTTTCTGCGTTTTCTAAAACCTCCCAGACCTGCTTCATGGAACAGTGGGACGAAATAAATGCATGGACAACCATAGGAACCAAAGCCTTGTTGGGCGACTGCAAAAAAAAAAAAGCATTTCTGGCTCTTCCAGACAGCCTGTTTCTTGAGCATTCATTACGATTTCTTTGCACTGAAGTTAGACGTCAGTAATAATAATAATAATAATAATAATAATAATAATAATAATAATAATAATTTATTATTTGTACCCCGCCCATCTGGCTGGGTTTCCCCAGCCACTCTGGGCGGCTTCCATAGAAACCAAAAATACACTAAAACATCACACATTAAAAACTTCCCTGAACAGGGCTGCCTGTCAGTGCCTTTATTCCACACTTTCCAGGGCATTTCCCCGTCAAATCTTGTCATCACAAAAGTTCTGTTTGTTCGTTCTGTAAGCAGGTTTGTTGCAAAAGAGCGCCAAGTCCACTTTCACGGTGCAACCTTCATCTGCCAGTGCACAACTAAACCCTGCTCGCCAAACAGTGGCAGTCTGGAAGTGGACTGCCTGTCCTCATTCTAAGTTAACTATTTCACCATGTCATTTTCCTCTCTAAAAAACAATACATCACGATACACATAATTCATCATGGGGTGAAGGAAAAACGTTATCGTTTGGAGGAAGACACTGAGGCAGGTACAGGTGTTCTGAACTTACCTGTGAGAGGAGGCGGGGGGGGGAAGAACAGCGAGTACAAAATGAAGTGAAGAAAGACACGGCTATTAAGCTAGGCAGGAGTGTTCAGCTGCCTACTGCCGTGAAAATTACATAGCACGGCCAGGTTATAATTGCTCTTTGTGCAGGGTGTGCAGCCGAGCAGAAACTTTGCGTAGGTTCTGCAGGCAGCAGGTTTTGCTCCAAGATGGAGATTTTGTTATTCTGTTCTAAGTGATGCTCAGACTCCGCAGGTCTACAGGGCTATCATGAAAGCACAAACTATGGTGCTTTGCAAGATTCAGCACCTGAGAGTCCCAGGGAGAGTGACCAAGATGATCAAGGGTCTGTAAACCGCCGAGGTCCAGCGCCGAGGGCCTTCTGGTGGATCCCTCACTGCGAGAAGCAAAGCTACAGGGAACCAGGCAGAGGGCCTTCTTGGTAGTGGCACCTGCCCTGTGGAACGCCCTCCCACCAGATGTCAAAGAGATAAACAACTACCTGACATTCAGAAGACATCTTAAGGTAGCCCTGTTCAGGGAAGTTTTTAATGTGTGACATTTTAGTGTATTTTTGGTCTCTGTGGAAGCCGCCCACAGAGGTGGGTTGGGTACAAATATTATTATTATTAATTATTATTATTATTATTATTAATAATAATTATTATTAACCAAGCCTTATGAGGAATGTTGGAGGGATGTTTTCCCGGATAAAGAAATGACCGGGAGATTTGATAGCCATCTTCGGATACCTAAAGGAACCTGCGATCTTGGCATTCTCAGCACCACGCTCTAAACAGCTGTTCAACCATTATGGCTTCCAGGATTTCATCAGCCGGTGCCTAGTCACTTTCAAGTGCACCGCTGTGAACACAAGGGTTAGAAATTTGTGGCTTTAAGAAAAAGGGAAGGAGAGGTTTTTTGGGGAAACTGAACTCTGAACCAATGGCGCAGTCTGTAAAACTGCACAACACACACACAGTTCTGACTATAATCAGGCTGCATTTCATCCATAATTGGGCCTCTTGCCAAACTCCTGGAAAATGGCGGCTTTCTTTTCCTTCATACAACTTCCTAGGTCCTGCTGAAAACAAGACTGAAATATCCTAGGTAAAGATACAGGGACTCCCTGACCATTAGGTCCAGTCATGGCTGACTCTGGAGCTCATCTCGCTTTATTGGCCAAGGGAGAAGACGTACAGGCTTCCGGGTCATGTGGCCAGCAGGACTAAGCCACTTCTGGCGAACCAGAGCAGCACACGAAAATGCCGTTTACCTTCCCGCCAGAGCGGTACCTATTTATCTACTTGCACTTTGACGTGCTTTCGAACTGCTAGGTTGGCAGGAGCAGGGACCGAGCAACGGGAGCTCACTCCGTCGCGGGGATTCGAACCGCCAACCTTAAATATCCTGGCTGAGATTATATCCAGCTGCTGTGCATTTTGAAGCCTGCATTTACCTCCGCAATGCGGACGGCAAGAGTGCAGTGGAATCAGATCAAAGGTCCATCTAGCCAAGCGAACTCTTTAGCACAGTGGCCTCTTGGAACTACTGCCTCTTGGAAGCCCACACCCTGCTGATGAAAGAAATATCCCTCCCGTGCCAATGTTTCCCTGGCAGTAGGGACTCAAGAGACAGACAACCACATAACCAAGAGGTTTTATGTAACCGTTAGGACTAGTAGACACTATCCTCCACGGGAAGAAGAATCAGCAAAGGAGGGATGCTTGGAACTTGTGGATCCCCAAATATTCTCCCCCTTTCACCTTTGCCAGGTGTGCTTCCTTAAAAGGAAGAGGGACACACACACACTCTGCAGGGGAGAACCAGAGAATAGGAAAAGGGCTGCATGCTCCCTGCCCCGTGTCCATCAGTTTTCCTGCAAATGTTGCGGGGGGGGGGGTCCTAAAATTTCCCAGCAGCTATAAAAATGGGTGGTAAGAGTAAATGGCTTGCAGTCTGGCGTGAGCACTGCAGGTTCAGTGCTCTGTGGCCCAGTGGTCATTTTAACACCTCCCCCCCCCATGTTAGCAAGATAAAGAATACACCTACAAAGTAGAGGCAATTGGCATTAGGTTTTAGCGAGACAAATACTTACAGGCAGTAGACAAAGATGCAACAACTGTAGATCATGGGCAGCTCATCCAACAGCTACAAAAAAAATAATGCAGAAAAGCATTTACAATTTAATCCACAGAAGATTCAGGGGAGGAGGAGGTGATCTAGGGTTGCATTTTTTAATGGCAGCGCTGAGTCAAGAGCGACACACAATGTTTTGTGAAGTGGTCAAGGAGGTCAGAGACAGTCTGGAACGGGATTCTCTCCCTGCGTGGGATTGTAAAGGCACCACCAGGTCTAGTAAGAGGCCATGCTCCACGATGGCAGACAATAGCGGTCAATTAACCAGCAGTTAAGAGGACAGCAAGCGCCAACAGGAGGAAACTGCTATATTCAAAGAGATTAATTAATGTACATGCTACAGCCAAGCTGGCTGGCTGGATAAACTCTGACCATCACATCATAATAATAAAAAATACACGAGCCATTATCAGAGGAGATACGAAGCTGTGCAATGATATAGACTCCCCAGTATAGCAGCTGGGCATCCTGTTATCAACTGCATTTGGGCAATGCTTACTGGCTTGCCTAAGAGCACCTAGGGATATTTCTCTTAGTCACTATGCTACACAGGACCTGAAACATATTCGCAGCCAAGCTAGTCTCAATTTCTACAGACCACTCCTCTTCCCCAAGTAACATGTTCACAGACTGGCTCTTCATATTTATTTATTCTAGGTCAGTCAGGTTCGGTTTTTAAAAAGGCTTCTGTCTTATTTTAAGATTTCTGAATGTACTTTGTAGAAAGTACATTTTAACCATTTAAATGTACAGTTATTATTTTGCAGACAGGGTATTTGCTTACTTAGATTTGTCTGTAGTAAAAACTTACAACTGCTCCAACCACCCCATAAAGAGTTCTAGGAAGAAAAAACACACATCCATAAAAGGCATGTGGACATTTTAAAGCAGTACTAACCTGCATTTCATACTTTAGGGTCATGTGAAAGCACCACGAGCCCAAACCTACGGCTGAAATCCAAGGAAGAAAGCGTTAGGGAAGGCAGGCATGCTGTAGGCAAAATACTTGGCCACTGTAACACTGACCTTCAACAAGAATTGATCGCAGTTGGAACCTATGCTAAGAGACCTACCAGAGTTCATTTCAGGGCCATTCCACGGAAGTCAAATGAATTTCTGAATGGAATACACACAATTCCAAACACTCCCTTTTTCCTGCAACCAAATGTGGACCTACAAGCTCCTAAAGTGAAAGGAGGAAACTGGGCAGCAAGATTGGAGCCAATCAAAATAGAAAATATTGGGCTAGACCAGTGTTTCCCAACCTTTTTTGGGCAAAGGCACACTTGTTTCATGAAAAAATCTCGAGGCACACCACCATGCCAGATGGGGAAAGGTCACTTTTTACTTATTCACTTTTGAATAATAAGAATTATACGTCATGGGGGGGGGCAGGATTTTAGAGATGTTTAGGTGGGGCATGGCCCAAAAAAAGGTTGGGAACCACTGTTCTAGAGCAAGTAAAGCTACCCCAGAGGGGGAAGGGTGGATTGAAAAAGTGGAATGAGGACAAGAGCCTATTCTTGCCAGGCTGCTGCTACACCCACTGGTCTTCCAATTGATCCAAATTGGGTCACAGTGCCAAGTGCAACCGTGCAAACTATATGGCCAAAGATTTAAGAAGCTAGTCCCCCAAGTGCAATGTGTTTGGGTTCAATGTGGAAAAAGTTGACAGCGGCGGGTCTGCACTTGGAGGGCAGGAGCTCTCCAAGGTTTCCAAGGCAGGGATCGACGCCGGGAACTGATGTGCCTGGGATCCTTTTCGTGCAAAAACACACCTACACTCTGCCCGCTGAGTCACGACGCGGAAGCCTCTGTGGTTGTTTGATGCTTGTTCAGCATTTGGCGGTCATTCTGGGGGGTTGGGGGGTGTCTGGAAGAGGGGCAGCCCCCCGCCAAGCCCCTCGAGGCCCCGTCTCGGCTGCCCCTCGCCTCCTTCCCACGGCTCCCGGGGCTCCTTCCAGAGAACAGGAAGGCCCGCGACCTGGGGCGTGTGCATCCCCCCCCCCAGTCTCGGGCGCCTTCCTCACCCGTTCAGCGGGGGTCCCAGGGGTCGGTTTCCCCCTCCGGGACGAGGCGCAGGACTCCTGCCAGGTCCGCCCGGCACTCCCAGGAGCAGGCGGCCGACAGGCGGCCGGCGGGCGCAAAGGGGCCTCCAGCGGCGGGAGCTTTTGCGAGGCCAGCTACCGCCGCCAGGCTGCTGCCGCTCGCCATGGCAAGCAGGAAGCCCCCCGGGCTCTGGGCGCCGAGAGGATGCTACGCGGCGGGACCATACGCGGGCAGCGGAGAAGAAGAAGGGCGGCGGGAGAGGGGCGGTTCTCGAGCGGGGAACTCAGCTTCCCAAGATCGCGGGGCTCACCGGACGGTTCTTCCCCGCAGGAACTTCCGCCCTTCCGCAGCTTCAACCGTAGACGTATTAGCATATGATAGGATGAAAGCTGGCCATAGAGAAAAGGCGAAGTTTGGCTGTCCGCAGCCTGGATTCCCGGGTTTCTTTCGACGTTACAGCCCCGTGACGTCAGCGCCACACAGGCAGCCAGACGGCGAGAGCCCCGCGCTGGGCGGCCTCTCCTCGCCGCCGCCGCCCCGCCTCTCGCTGCCCGACTCGCCCGCCTCCCTCCCACGGCACACCAGGCAACGTCTCGCGGCACACTAGTGTGCCGCGGAACACCGGTTGGGAAACACTGGGCTAGACCAAGGTTTTCCAAACTTTGGTCTCCAGCTGTTTTTGGACTACAAATCCCATCACCCTTAGCTAGCAGGACCAGTGGTCAGGGATGATGGGAACTGTGGTCCAAAAACAGCTGGAGGCCTAAGTATGGGAAACACTGGGCTAGACAAACCGAGGTCTTCCTTGTACCCAAACCAACTTTGTATTGATGAGTGAGAAAAGGCAGCAAACCTAAAATGGCTGTTCAGGAGGCGGGGCTGTTTCACCCGACAAGTTAATTGAGACTTCATTATTAAACACTTGCGGAAACTTTTCCCTTGGTTTCTTTGCTCTCCCAGCAGGTCCTATGAAATTATTCGCCCAAGGAGTTTTCAGAAACTAAACGGTCAACCAAAAAATGGGCTGAAGAAGTCCGGCAGGCAGGGAGCACACTGGCTCTCTGTGCAGTCCAGGATGTTAGGTTCTTGTCGAGAGCAGCATATGCAGGGAGAGTAACAGGAGGAGGATCCACGGCGCAGCTCTGCTGCTGAAGCAAAGCCTGCCTGGTCTTGCAAGCTGCCTGGCAAGAAAACCTATTTCTAGCCAGGAGATCCCCCAAGCTCTTTGGAGGAAGAATGAGGTGTAAAGGCACCAAAGGGGTGGGGAAAGAAGAAAAAGAGACTCCGATAATTATGCTTGTCAAAGCGGTCGGACCAAGCCTAAAGTTTTCAATACTAACTTAAGCAAGTTGGGACTTGGCGAGCCGAGGGAGCGCCTTCTCCCATATGGACCGACCCAGTCAGCAAGATCAACTAATGAGGCTCCCTGGCTTATTAAGCAAGCTGCAGAGACCCAGTTCAAGGTGATCCGGGCACGGGCATTTTTTGCTGCGGCACCTACTCTGTGCAACACCCCTCCCCCCAAAAAATTAAGTCTAGGGCCAACACAGGTGTGCTCCCACCACTTGAAAAAAAAAGCGTTAATTTCCCCAGGTCTTTGCTGACAGTTACTGTATTTTTCGCTCTATAAGACGCACTTTCCCCCTCTTAAAAAGTAAGGGGAAATGTGTGTGCGTCTTATGGCGCGAATGCAGGCGGGAGGCTCTGCTCAGCGCTCCCTTTAAACAGCCGCACACACACTCTGCGCGCTCTTTAAAGGGAGCGCGGCTCTTGGGGGAGCCTTAGCCGCCCGCAGCCTCTCCCGGGCAGGGGATGAAGGCTCCCCTTGCCCGGGAGAGGCTGTGCATGGCCAAGCAAGAAGCCAGGACAGCCAGCAGGATCGCAGCGCAGTGATCCCGCTGGCTGTCCTGGCTTCTGGGATTCAGAATCCCCCCCCTTGTTTTCCTCTTCCAAAAACTAGGTGCGTCTTATGGTCTGGTGCGTCTTATACAGCGAAAAATACGGTAATGCCAGTTGGTTTTAAATGGAATTCTCAATTTGCCCTGGCTAGTATGCTGCTGCTTACAACTTTTATTTGTTGCATGTGAGGTTTTAGGAAAGGCGGTACAAAAAAATATTATAGGTAAGTAACAGCAAATTAAGTGCTTCCTCCCAGTTCTGAAGCTGCAAAGGTGGTCAGGGATCACCCAGGAAATTGCATGGCAGTCCCCTCCCCATCTCAAGCTCCAAAGTTGGAAGGAAGGCCCTAGGGCAGGCATAGGCAGACTCGGCCCGCCAGATGTTTTGGGACTACAATTCCCATCATCCCTGACCACTGGTCCTGTTTGCTAGGGATGATGGGAGTTGTAGTCCCAAAACATCTGGAGGGCCAGTTTGCCCATGCCTGCCCTAGGGTGTACCCAATGGTGCCATTCCACTGGTGTAACAGAACTTCCATCTTTTCTCCTACGCCGCCCACACCCCGCCGTACATCTTCTAAATCTGCGGGGGAACCCTCTGGAGCAGATTTCGGGTCAAGGCAGCCCTCATAACCTCTCCTGCTCCAGTGCAGGAAAGGTTGGCAACTGTAATTTTTCGCTTGGTTACAAAGTCCAGCCAAAAACTGTTGACTCCTTCGTGTGATGGCCGTACTTTAAGCATACTTCTCCAAAGGACAGGGTAGGCTCATTTTAATCCTCCTTTTTGGGGGGCAAATGTTGGCACACACTAGCTACCTTTGCAACTCCCCCACCTCTTGCGCTCTAAAAAATAAAGTCACATTCGTGCGGAAGAATAATTAGACCTGACCTGGAGAATACTTCTAGCCATCTCTTATGGATTATTTTTTTAAAAAAAGCTCTGTTCCTTGAAACAAGCCCCGGCTTGTTTGAAAGCCACTAATCATAGTTCCGGTTCCTCTAGAATGGGAAGCTACAGTTAATTGCAGTTTTCTAGTTTGTTTCTCTACTCAAGCAAAGAGAGGAGTGAATGTACAACACTTAGGCATCTCCTTACTAGGACTTAATTGTGCGAACGCTCTCAGGGACTCTCCTTCGGGAGCAACAACTATTCAAGGTCTGCTTTTCTATCCACTTGCGTTTCTTAACAAGTGGTGCAATGCCAAAGACTCTTTTTAAGCTGTTCTCAGCAGAAGAGTACTTAACAATGCCTCACACAGTTACAGGGATTCTTGCTTGAGGAAAGTCAGGGACATGGTCACACCAGGCCGTTTTAAAAACAGCCAACAGGCTCAAAGGAAAGCATCTTGGTTTCCCTTTGCCATAGGGACACAATCTGGGGAAAGCAAGGATAAAACTTGTCACCGCTTGTCACTTGAAAAGTCACCTGACTCCCCACACCATCAGGATATAAAGTACAAGCTGACCCACTTACCTGCGACACACAAATAAGCTATTATATATCGTGTTTCGAGGCCATCTCTGTAACTCTGAATTGCACCATAGATTGGAGGTAGAATGAAAATCAAATTACTAACGGTGTTCCCTGCATGAGAAAAACAAAAAGCAACGCGAAAAGGGGTTAGCAGTGACTAAGGAGCAAACTTTAGATGATTTAAAATCTATTCAGCAAAAAAGAAGAGAAAAAGACTTCCAACAATACAGAGAATAAAACAACTGAGGTTATCCCAAGCTTCTCTGCTCTTTGTAAGAAGAAAAAGCTTTATTTTTCATACAAGCTGGTATTGATGAAACATTCAAAATGGCTATTAAGAGCTTTCTTGAGTTTCTACAGTCTAGCACAGGAGATGATATGCAAGAATAACTCTTCTTTGTAGCGTAACATTTTGCATTTAAAATAAGTGAAGGGATTGCTGCTCCTCACAATCACGCCAGTGGCATTTGAAAAAAAGATAACACAGTTTTATTGATAAAGATCTCTCAGTAGCTTCGAGGAATGATTTCTAAAAACCACGTTCAGTGGCAGCAGACAGGTTACCTGACGCCAGGGTCAGGTAACAGAGGTCCAGCATCGCCACCTTGCTATGCTCGAAATTAAGGAGGATCACTAAAGAGATTTTGCAAGGCACAGAACTCTTTCCGCAGGGCCTGAAAGACAGAGCTGTTCCGCCTGGCCTTTGGTTTGGACTCAGTCTGACCCTTATGTTTCCCTCCCCTTACGGTTTTGATCCATGGGCTACTTTTAAAATGAGACTGCATTTTAAATTGCATTTTAACCTGTATTTAAAATTGGGTTTTTCTCCCTATTATGTTTTTATTGTAATTTTACTGGTGTTAGTTGCCCTGAGCCCAGCTCTGGCTGGGGAGGGTGGGGTATAAATAAAAAGTATTATTATTATTATTATTATTATTATTATTATTATGCTACATCCAACCAGCAACTCACATCTTTTAAAGTGTTCTGTGGGTTAAACCACAGAGCCTAGGACTTGTTGATCAAAAGGTCGGCGGTTCGAATCCCCGCGACGGGGTGAGCTCCCATTGCTCGGTCCCTGCTCCTGCCAACCTAGCAGTTCGAAAGCATGTCAGAGTGCAAGTAGATAAATAGGTACCACTCCGGCGGGAAGGTAAACGGCGTTTCCGTGTGCTGCTCTGGTTCACCAGAAGTGGCTTAGTCATGCTGGCCACATGACCCGGAAGCTGTATGCGGACAAACGCCGGCTCCCTCGGCCTATAGAGCGAGATGAGCGCGCAAACCCAGAGTCGGTCACGACTGGACCTAATGGTCAGGGGTCCCTTTACCTTTAACCACAGAATCATAGAACTGTAGAGTTGTTAGGGACCTCAAGCGTCCTTGAGTTCAACCCCTTGAAATGCAGGAATCACAGCTAAATAACCCAATAGATGGAGACCCGAGGAGAATTATCACCAAGGCTAAAGTGCTGGAAAAAATGTCCAATTCCAAAGCACACTTTCAGGTGGCTTACTAAGTGTTTGCTTGCCCACTCCCAGTAGTAATCAACATTTTTCATGTATAATCTGGGCAGTAAACATTTCCTCGCCAATTGTTTCAAGGTGGAGGGGAGAAAGGCACTATGAAACTGTTTGGAGGTAGTAGAATCAAGGTAAAGGTATTTTAGTAGCTTAGAAGACATTCCGCAAGTAAGCCCCAAAGCGTGAGGGTGGTTGGCTGGGTGAAAGAAACTCTCTTTTCTCCATGTGCTACTAAATGCCATCAACACAGGAATGTATCAAAGGAAAATTCCATGGTGGCGTGGCGTGCTTCTTGGACTTGCCTTGGGGGTCCTTACATAATGCTGCATCGTCTTGGGTACTTTTGCACCACGAAACTAACCGCCCCAAAGAAAAGAAGTTGAAAAGGAAGCTATAGTTCACCTTGCAAGCAGGCACGGGTAATTAAGGGGCAGCAAGGTAACTTGCCCATGACAAATGGTAGCTGGGAGAACACTTGCATTTCAACCCATATACAATTATTCCTCAGGAGCACCTGAGCACTGAAGGCACAGCCACACCATAGTTTTCGAATTGTTTTGTAGAAATAAGCTCGCTCTCTCCGATGAAAGCTGGGAGGTGTTATTCAGGGAGGGTATCTCAAATAAAAATCTCAGCGCCATCACAAACTACAATTTCCTGGCTTCTTTGGGGGAAACCAATACACTTATCCCAATAGAAAATACACCTAAGTTTTCTGCAGGTATATGCCCTATGGTGACTGAAGTTAAGTTGGGCCCTTGTAATTAATTATTATTATTAATAATAATAATAATTAATATTTATATGCCGCCCATCTGACTGGGCTTCCCCAACCACTCTGGGCAGCTTCCAACAGAATATTAAAACTATGACAAAACATAAAACATTAAAAACTTTACTATACAGCGCTGCTTTCAGTTGTCTTCTAAAAGTCAAATAGTTGCTTATTTCCTTGGAAGTAAGAAAGTCAAAAGCACAAATTTGTACAGTGGTACCTCGGGTTAAGTACTTAATTCATTCTGGAGGTCCGTTCTTAACCTGAAACTGTTCTTAACCTGAAGCACCACTTTAGCTAATGGGGCCTCATGCTGCCGCCTCGCTGCCAGAGCACGATTTCTGTTCTCATCCTGAAGCAAAGTTCTTAACCCGAGATACTATTTCTGGGTTAGTGGAGTCTGTAACCTGAAGCGTATGTAACCTGAAGCGTATGTAACCCGAGGTACCACTGTACTTCCTTTTTTTAAAGGTGACTTACTTGAGTTACACTGCTATATAATATATTTTAAAATGTTCTTAAAGATGCACTGCTTTCTTGTGAGGCGGGGAGACCATTTAAATGGACTATATCCAAGAGCAGGATTTACGGAGAAGTTCCACCCTCTGCGCAAGGGAATGTGCAAAGCGCTCCTGGGCACCAGTCAGACTTTCCTGCTCCAAAGGAGGTGGAGAATGGTTTCAAAGGGTTACCTAAATGTCCAACAGAACTGAACTGGACACTATCAGTGGCATTCTAAGGCTTTACCTTTTTCTTCCTAAGCAGAGAACTATCCCTACATGGTCTGCAGCATTTCAAGTGACGCACTCTAAAGCTTTCCACACCTGGGAACCACCTTTACATAACACCCTTCTCACGTTTTCTCCCCGAGTCCAAATTGCAGTGCTGCGGTTGGTGCAAACCCCCAATTGGTCCTGACACATGAGTCGAAGGCCAATGGTTTAAAGCAGATCTTGTGGGGAGAATGATCCAGCTGCCAACATGCAACCCATGGCTGGTTTAAATCATGGCTTGAGAATGTTTTCTGCCAGAATGGGAAATAATTGGAAGTTGGGGTCCCTTCCAACTCTACAGTTAATAATAATAATAATAATAATAATAATAATAATAATAATAATAAATTTTATTTATATCCCGTCCTCCCCAGCCTTAGCCGGGCTCAGGACGGCTAACAACAATAAAACAGTACAAAAGTACAGCATAAACAACACTCTAAAATCATTCATTCTAAAATTAATTAATTCAAGCCACTGGCAGCCATTGGGCCAGAGCTCCGCGAAGATTGCCGAAGGAGGGAGTCAGGCTGTGCCCTTGCCAAAGGCCTGGTGGAACAGCTCTGTCTTGCAGGCCCTGCGGAAAGATGTCAAGTCCCGCAGGGCCCTGGTCTCTTGTGACAGAGTGTTCCACCAGATCGGAGCCACAGCCGAAAAGGCCCTGGCTCTCGTTGAGGCCAGCCTAACTTCTCTGTGGCCTGGGACCTTCAAGATGTTTTTATTTGAAGACCGTAAGTTTCTCTGTGGGGCATACCAGGAGAGGCGGTCCCGTAGGTACGAGGGTCCTAAGCCGTATAGGGCTTTAAAGGTTAAAACCAGCACCTTAAACCTGATCCTGTACTCCACCGGGAGCCAGTGCAGCTGGTATAGCACCGGGTGAATGTGATCTCGCAGCGAAGACCTCGTAAGGAGTCTCGCTGCAGCATTCTGCACCCGCTGGAGTTTCTGGGTCAGTCTCAAGGGCAGCCCCACGTAGAGCGAGTTACAATAATCCAGTCTGGAGGTGACCGTCGCGTGGATCACAGTGGCTAGGGTCAGGGCGAGAGAGGTAAGGAGCCAACTGCTTAGCTTGGCGGAGATGGAAAAATGCCGCCTTTGTTATAGCTGCAATCTGCGCCTCCATGGAAAGGGAGGTGTCGAAGATTACACCCAAACTCTTAACGGACGGTGCTGGCACTAATTGCGCCCCCGCAAGAGATGGGAGTTCTATGACTTTTGGTGAAAAGGACCCTGCCACACACATAGAAATCTAAAAATGACACATTTCCTACGTGGAAACTGACCTCCGTGCAGGAAATTGAATCATCTGAAGTTGCCTTTGACTGCTTTCGTGAAATACATTAACTCTCCCCCCTCCCAATTCCCTGCACCTGTAAGATGCTGTTACGCAGACACACACTGTATATGGTCAAATGTTAACCCTTTTGAGGGTACCAGTTTTTCATTGCCATCCATTAGTTGTTGCATGGCTCACGCTGCCCTAAAAACTCTGAACGCTCAACAGGAACCTTTCGGACCCAAGAACACAACCTGACAATAGCCCACAGGTGGCTTCTCGTCATAAAAATGCCATTCCCCCATAAACCCCGGGGGAAAGAGTCAAGGCATGGCCACATTGTTCCTGGAAGAAAGCTCATTCTTGAAAACAATGTTATCAGGCGTGTGCTATTAAGGGCAGAGAAGTATCGCAAACCAATTCTGCACAGCTTAATGGAAGCCGGCAGATTAGGCAGGGAGAGTTTCAGCAACTAAACCAGAGACTGAAGAAATCCTGGCCACAAACAAATGAACTTTTACCTTTGCTTGTCTAGCTTCGCTTTAAGGCAGCATACCTCTGCTTCAGCTACTACAGTGGTACCTCGGGTTACATACGCTTCAGGTTACAGACTCCGCTAACCGAGAAACAGTACCTCGGGTTAAGAACTTTGCTTCAGGATGAGAACAGAAATCATGCTCTGGCAGCGCGGCAGCAGCGGGCGGCCCCATTAGCTAAAGTGGTCTTCAGGTTAAGAACAGTTTCAGGTTAAGTACGGACCTCCGGAA